GTCTTTGGGGGGGAAGGGGGGGGGGCAAAACTCGGCGCTATACGTCAGCTGCACTCGACACGATTATATTTCCTCTGTGTCGTAAATAGTTCCATTTTTAGCCATGAAAGATGTGGATTTAAGTTGCACTGAATAGTGTCGAATTTGTTTAAAAACAAGTAAGAGCACGGTATGATTAACGTGTACCGAATTCCGGTAAAAGCATTTAAAGTAACTTTTTGCAAAAATATGCGATTTTTCATTTCAAATTTTTGAAATAATGTGACATTTTACCACAATAGTTCGCGACAAAAATGTGTTTTTTTAGCAGTGATTTTGCCCCTGTTTTTTATTGCAATTGGGTTTAACTGTAGTAAAAAGTTATCACGGTCTTATGGTGACACAGGACTGAAACTTGAAAATTCGGGCAAAAACCGGCTATTGCAAGTTTAAAATGAAGACGCGAATTAAATTTAAAAAACGCTTTTCATAGAAATTTTAGTTAGATCATTGCGGTTCTTTTAACTTTTTTTCTTTTAACTAAATAGCTGTTTTTTGTCAGTTTCAGTCCTGTGTCACCTTATGCCTTAGAGATGGGCGAACATGTGCGAATTCGATCGAAAATCGAGCTGCTCGTGATCGTCCGAATACTCGCTTCGAGCAAAAATTCGTAGTCGTAGGCGAACAAAATTGCAGTGAATGACAAAAACACGCGTCATTTTAACCTGTCATCTGACAGAAGTACGTATTTCGAAAAAAGTCCTTTTTTTGTATTGTTTAATTTGTAATAGTTTGTAATAGTTTGTACTCTGTGATAGTTTTGTGCCGAAAAACCTTCAAACAAAACAGGTGTTTTTTCCTGACATACGCAGTTTTGTCTGACGACAGGTAGTTTATGCGTCTAGTTTTGGTTCGTGGCACACAAATAAAACCAACAATTTTAAACTTGAATCTATAGTAAACCAGCACAGAGCTTTCATAATTCATAAGCAAAGAAAAAATTAAATTGTTCGTGTTCGGATCGAATTCTAACAAGTCTGTTCACTCATCTCTATCATGCCCTTTTGGATGGGAGTCGCAAAACGTATTTTAGTTTTCAATATTTTTTACTATTTGTACTAACTGGAAAGTTGAGTTCCTTTTTCAGTTTCCATTACAAGTGCAATGCCATCGATAGAATTACATATCTGTAGCAGCCGATCAGATCCGTAAAATGTCACCTTCCACTCTACAGGAACCACACTTTTAAGGATTTGTTCGGATTGATCGGATTTTCCAAAGATGCTTTTTAAACTTTCTCAGAGAAAAGTCAAAGGACTTAGTATTCGAGATTTGAACAGTTTGTAAATGGTAAAGGCCGTTGAAAGAGACGTGTTACCAGGCACCCACATTTCTGCAGGCATAACTCGACATTAAAAATAGTCATCGTAACGTAAGCTAACAGCGGATCTGTGATTACAATATCCTCATAAGCACAACTACGGGGGCCGTTGAAAAAATCTAAATCAAGAATCTATCTTGAAAGCAGATGATACCAATTTAATACTATAGTATACCTGTGTTTTAATATTTCTAGTTTGGTTTTTATTTGTGGTGGTTTTGCATCATATTTTCACTGTTTTACTCATCGTTTATCGTCGACAGGCATTATTATAAAGGGGAGGGAGGGGGAGCGTACCGGGCGGCAGCCGCGGCCGTGGGTGGGACCCTAGTATTGTTGAGCAGAGGCCTCACGCGACACCCGTCCAGCCCTGCGCCAGCCCTGCCCGGGTGGAAGGATCTTTAGTTAAACTGTAGTTTGGACTATAGCGTTCAAACTGCAGTCTTAAAACTGCAGTTGCAGAGGAGAAAAAAAAGAGAAATGAGTACAGTTGATACATTAGTTTTGCAATTGAGTTTTCAGATATTTTATTATGCTACTTTTTCTGTAGTTTTCCACACTAGTTTCGCACTGTAGTTTAAAGACAGTTTTAAGACCAATTTAATATCGAGTTTCCAACATCAGTATGAAGTTGTCCTGAAAGTTGTATTTGCATCTGCATTGCAACCAGTACATTAACTGTAATTCTGACTAGATGA